TTTTATTGACTGGAAGTCACACAGGTAGACCCAAAATAAGAAAATACTACCTGTACCTGTAGAAAAATCAACCAATAGAAACAGATCCAGAAAACAAGGCTATTGAAGCAGTTATTATAGTATGGTCTATATGTTCAACACGGTGGAGAAAAACAGGTGCATGCTAAGAGAAAAATCAAAGACAGAAAAGAGATCAAATTGAACCTTGATTTCAGAATTCATAATGCAGCACTAATGATTCTCCTAACTTAGATGACATGCTTAAAATCATATAGAAAGTTTTCAGTTCACTTAGTTGCACACTTGTACTAAACACGCCTGACTCGTGTTCTGAAGGTTGTGTTACATAGCTTACTGCCTCTCAAGAAAAGTGCTGGAAAGTTCTCAGAGGGAAATGTGAAGTCACTAGTGGGTTATGCTATGACTGATGGTTTGGATTAGTGGGCTACGTAGGAGAAGGAAGCACTGAGCTCCTAAGAGCATGTTCCCTGGAGGGATTTCTTGTAGTGATGGAAGAAAAAACATGCTCTCAGTCTGCTACAGCAGTAATTTCTTTTTGTTTTTACTTGCTTTTTCCATCAGCACTCAAATATGCTGTGGCATCTCTCACCTTAAAACAATCTCTCTCTCTCTCTCTCTCTCTCTCTCTCTCTCTCTCTCTCTCTCTTTCTCAAGTTCTCAAGCTCTCCAGCTATTTTCCCTCCCTCCTTACAAATTCCCCCATTGCTACCACGCCACCATCATCTCTCACCTCGGCCTCTGTATGATTCATCTACTTACTAGTCCCAAGTCCAAATTTGAGCCCCCAAAGTTCATTTTCCACAGAGCAGCCAAGACAATATATTCCATAGGAAGTCAGGCCACGTGTGCCACCAAATCTCCCGCCCTCACAAGCTTCCAGTGGCTTCCAGTTGCTTTTAGAATAAAATTCAAAGTTCTCATCAAGGTCTTAATGCACCCTGAGACCTGGTGCTGGCTGGTTTTTTTAACACTGTCTCCAATGTACTCCCTGTGCGCTGTAGTCCATCGTCTGGGCTCTGATTCCCCAACTTAGAACCAATGGCCTCTCTCGTTTGCTGTTCTCTTTGTCTGATCACTTTTCTTCCTTATCTTTGCATACCACAACTTTCGTATCACAATATACATGTGTGGTTATTCTTATTTACAAGACATAGATTGATTTTGCCTGTTACAATAATAATAGGAAAACATTATGTAGTACTTGATACGAATAGGTAATTTTAAGAATGACATATGTATATTAATGTATTAATTTTAAATTATATTGATTATTGATTTATAATTTAATTCTAACGATAACCTATGGGATAACACTATGGTTACCCCGTTTTACATGTGAAGAAACTGAACCTAGAGAGATTTTTTTTTTTAAATTAAGTAATTTGCCTGTGGTCTCAGCATCCGTAATCGGGAATGTCAGGATTTTGAGTCAGGTACTCCAGTTTCAGAGCCTTTGCTCTTAACTGGTCCTCTCAGTGATACCTTTGTATTTATTATTGGAAGTGTTTTTCTGATTATGCTACACATAATGGGCATGTGTTTTTGAAAATATTAAACAAAATGTACACAAATATAAGCAGGATTTCATTTTTTCTTATCTTCCTTTTTAAAAGTGCTCTTAAAATACCTCAAAGGAAAAATTTAAAAACCAAAACAAACTAAACTAATGAAACTCACGTGTGTGGAATGGGACCCAATCAATTATTCTGTCAGAACAACAGGAGTATAATTCTTTTTCCTTTCTAATATGGTCTATTTACATGAGGCAATCTAGACAATATCCACTATATGAAGCTTTTGATCAAATAACTGCATGTAATTAATTAATATAGTACATTACTATAGTAAATATAGTAAGGTGAGTTTCTTGGTAAATACTATCAATTATTGAATTTGACTCTACAATTTCTTTTAAAGTTTTCAATATTCTAGTACATTTATTTCAAATTTTCAAGAATAGTTCCATTACAATAATTAGGCCAATGATGAAATAATAATTGCAATAAAAGCATTTAAACTATACAGGGCCTTTTATTTTGCCAAAGTCAGAGAATACTTATCAGGAACACATTGCATGTTCTCACAAGAGATTTCCTTAGTTGATATTTTTGCTTAATAAGAAGAGTCTTGATTCTGGTTCACGAGCCAAATTTTCCATAAACATTTTATTTTATTCACTAAATACATTATTATATTTTTTGGTAAAAAGCCTTCTTTAATCCATTTGTGTCTTTGTCTCTGACAATGATAATTATTATGACTGAGTCTTTAAGATCTAGGGAACCTACCACCTTCTTTCTTCCCAGAATGCAGAACAAACTAAAAAATAATGTAAGGAATACAGATAATGATGAAAATACCAGATTTAACAGCTGCTGACACTAGATCGCTGAATGTAGTTTTGATGTGTGACCCCAATGGGCTTTCAAAGTCTCGCTTTCTAATTCTCAAACACAAAGTCACCAAGAGAAAGAGTGAACTGTAGGACTTCCAACAAGGCAGCGTGGTAGAGCACAGGCCAACCAGAATTAACTCTACAGCAAGGCAAACATGAGAGAGAAAGACAGAATAGCTTTGAACTCAGCCACTTCCTTTCATGTAAGCCTGAGGAGAAGTCAGCGGGGAGTTGGAGAGGAAAGAAACCAGGGGTGCTGAGGTCGGATTGTCAGGTGACCCATGTCTTGATCTAAACCACATAGAACCATTGAATTGAGCTCATTAGCAAAATGTTTGCTCCAATTCCTGGAGCCCATGAAAAAAATTAAAATCTTCACAATAATGACTAAAACAGGCTGTCTGAGCAGAAAGAAAACCTTATTGACACAATAGTTCTATCTACTGCTGCAAATCTCTGTTATCTAGACAGTGTGTGCATTTGTGACAAGCAAAGCAAGGCACCAATGGATTTGGACTTCATCCCAGAACCCAAAATAAGTACAGCATCATGTTAATTATCTAGGAGAAAAGTCGGGTGTTAATATGGATGAAGAAGTTATTTGTTAACATTGCTTTCCCTTGAATGCTACTGTTCAATAATGGTCACTGTTTATATGAGAACGTTCAATAATGCCACTGTCTGTATAAGAATTTGAGTAGACAAATGAGACGCAGGTGTGCTACGCGGCCTGTTACATTTCACAGCGTTACACTTCAGACTCCGGAAGGCGCTATCAATTTCTGTTCCTTTGTACAACATTTGTGGAAAATCACACAGGAGAGGATTTCTCAAAGAGTAGACGTAAATCGAAATGGCTTTTTCTATAGAAAGATGGTCCTGGTAATCCCAGGCCAGTACAATGTGCTTTATTTGGAATTGTACCTTATTTAGAGGAAGCTCATTTGATATACTCGTTGTAATTCCATCTCCAGGCAAGTGAGTTAGCCATGTACCTTGAGATAAGACTAACAGATTTAGCAAACAAAAATACAGGATTTCCAGTTGAATTTGATTTTTAGATAAACAACAAACAACTGTTTAGTACAAGTATGTCACCTGCAACATTTGGAACATCTTTATGCTACATAATTAACTTTTTTATCTGAAATTCAGAATTCACTGGACATTCTCTATGTTGCCTGGCACCCCTATCTCTATGGCAGAATACCATTCTCTGTGTCTACCCCAGAGATATATGCAGCCAAAATATATTCCTTTATTTGAATATTAATTTGATGATCTTTTGATTATAATAGTTTTACTGGCATAGCTATGGCGAGTTCAGTTATACTGCAGTTATCTGCCTTGTAAGATAAGGGTTTTCATTTATAGACTTTAAAAGTTAAGGAGCATCTGTGTATCAACTTGAAATATCATAACTAAAAACATTGTCTTTCATATTCAAGTCATGGGTTTTTAATTAGATAAACCCAGTGGTACACACTATTTTATGAAAATAATATATATTTCCCTGCATAGAAAGTTATCAGGGTTAGCTATATTGGCCTAAAAAAGACCTTCACTTTATTTGTATGTAGTGATACGAGTGCTGATATATCTCTGTTGGCATGAAATCTATTCTTAGATTTTGGATCAATCTACAAAATTTAGTACTTCTTTCAGGAGCCAAGCCTTGTCTACCACGGAAGTGTCTAGAAGCACGCTATGTGTCTAGAGCAGGGTTTAAATTGGTGCCCTCACAGCCTTAACTTGGAGGATCGGTGCTCCATGAAATGTATCCACGTGGCTTTACGTTTACATCTTATCACTACCTTCACAGCTGAAAACTATAGACCCCCAAAGCAGTTTTCTTTTCTCTTTCAGTGTCTCTATATAATGTCAGGTCAGCTCTCTGAACTTAAAGGCTGACCATGCCTTGAGAGTGAATTGATAAAATTAAAAGGGCTCAGCCTTTTAGTTAAAAATATATTGTTTTCGAGGAAATACCAATGACTTAATGGGACACTTGCCCTGAAACTTACAGTTAAATCCTGCTCCAAAGGATTCTCTGCATTCTGCAAAAACAATCGGATTGCTTGTGTCAGGTCATGTCACCAAGCCAAACATATGTAGGACCTACACGTCTTTTTAAAGATTTTTGTTGTGTTTTCTAAGCACAATGCCATTAGCTGATTTTCCACAGAATTTCCCATATGGATATTCCTGTCTGGGATGCTCACCTATAATCACAATTACTTTTTTATATTGATAAAGCATAATAAATCAAGTCGTCATCTTGTTTAGCGTTTTTTTATAGAAAAACTTTTTTCACGATAAAAGCTTAAAGGGTAGACTACAACTGTGGTTGTTCACAACACAATTAGAAACTTTATTTTTATCACTTATTGGAGCCAAAAATGAGTACTTGTCAGCCATTTCCAATGGCAGTAATTTGAAAGTAGTCACCGTTATGTACAGTCGTGCTGTGGGCCAAACTACAGCAAGTTGACTGCTCTATGGTTTGAAGATAAGATGCTCTAACACTAATTCCTGCAATTTCCCCTAAGTGGTATAACAAGCACGGCATTTATTTATCTTCTAGATGAAATGAACGATCATCAGAGCACCCTGTCCTACATCCTGATTAACCCGTCTCCAGACACCAGGCTAGAGCTGAATGATGTTGTGTAAGTTGGTCTCGTATGACCCATGAGACATTCATTTGTACGATCCACAAATTTATATTTTTATATTGTTATCCCCACGACAGCCTCTTCTGATTCTTACGACATGAATGTCCAAGTCTAATTTTTGTGTTCAATAAACAGAGGCGTTTTACGTATTTCTGGGTGTAATGCTATAAAACAGTCATTGCAGGATTGTACAGGAATAAAAGAAGGAAATAGTGGCATGAATTCTGTATTCTGTGAGATAATATATATTTGGAGAAGTCAGAGAAAATACGTGGAAAAATAAGAGAACAGCTCAAAGGTAAACCTGAAATATCTCACACCACCTAGTTCTAAAGACCTTAGATTTCCTACCAGCCAAAGTAAATAGGTCAAAACACTTAACAGGAAAAGGTCTACAGTAGTAATTTGATTCATCAGAAACTATGCATATGAGCGAGAAAGTAGCAAGACTTTCAAAAAGGCATTTTGACTGTTGGTGTAAGCCCAAGAGAGAAATCCCTAACAGTAATTTGCCCTTGAGGTCCACGGATCAGAGCCACTTCCCCCAGGAAGCGAACCCCAGACTGTCTTAATGACAGAAAACAATCGCCAAAGATCATAAGCCTGGGTGGGTGTTAGGACTGCGGGGGGTGTTTGGATCTATAGTCAGGAAAAGAAGTAACAGGGTTGGACACTTGGAGGAGTGAGAACATTCTCTTGTGCAGAGCATAAAATGGACCCATGCCAGCAGCTTAGATCTACAGCTAGTGATACGCCAGGAATCAGAAGCTACTTTTATATGTTGCCAGTTTTGTGGGAGCTTTTGACAGGGGTGGAAAGGATGTTTATTTCTTTCATAGGGAAACCAGCTGCAAAGCTGTTATGCAGGTGTAAAGGGGGTGATCCATCACAGCATCAGGGTGATGATCTAGTAAAAGTAGGCTCCCCTGGAGACAAATTTATGAAGGCGAAGAGTGTGACTGTTCACTGGCATAGCAGGTGGAAAAGGAATCAAGCATGGCTTCAAGATTTCAAACAAACAAACAAACAAACAAACGAACGAACGAACGAACGAACGAACGAACGAACGAACGAACGCCACTGTACTGAAATAAGTCCGAATAGGGAGGCCATTTTCCAAGCAGGAAACAAGATTTGCTGGCTGGGGGGAGGGAAAGAAGATGAACTGGGGTTTAGATATTGTGTTCAATGGGCTAAGCGGAAAAGCCTAGAAAACCTACAGAGATGTAGTACTGTAGCTTTCAAGGGAGGCTAGCTCTATAGAGAAAATATTTATTTTTCATCTTCTAGACAAAAAAAGCAAAAGAGAGAATGATTATTCCAAAGGAGAGCTACAAACAGAAGAGAAAGTTAAAAGAAATACTATCGGACTGCTGAGTAGTGGTCAGTTTTAGGGCAGAAAGAGGAAATGTGTTTCAGAAACTTCTTAGGAGTAACTTTGACCCAAAATCAGTGTGAAAAGGGTTTCTATAATGCACCTACAATACAGCTAACAAATATAATAACACTGTAACTTGCTGTCTGATGATACTGGTTAGAATACAGGACCTGTGGGATTCAGGTGAATGACTGGTCACGTCAGCTGCTAGAGTTCTTAAGGCAGCTGTCAAAGCTGATATCCAGGGGCGAAGGCGAATTTACGGAGCACTTTCAGTAGGAAGAAAATACCTTATGTATGATGCACTTGGTTCTCAAATGCCCATTCCGGAGACTTCACTTAGTCTATGACTATAACAAAACAAAACTGCCCCATTTTACTTGTATCCACTTCCTTTAAATCCATAAAAGCAGGCAATTTTTATTCATTCTCCAATCTGCCCGTGTAATTCCAAGCTTCTTATGCCTCTCCCAAATGAATTATAGTTGTACTAATTATGTCAGGATTCTAAAAAGTGATGCCTACCTTATTCATATTTCATAATAAATTCTGTTTCCTGTGCCTAATATATTTCCCATGATTACTTCTGACAGAATGTAAAGTGTTGTTAACCTTTAAGTCTATGCACACGTCCTTCCATCAAATAGAGGTTTATAATCAGAAACCATTCCCCAAACTCTTAAATTTACAAATAAAATATGTATGTTATAATATACTTAGGTAAAATAAGCATAATATTTTCTCTTTTGGGTATTATTATTTTTTATTAGTTTTCAACTAAACCATCAGCTTGACTGCTATGAAAACAAATTTTTTTCAAAGATCTGCATATGTGGCATTGAGATAATTAAATTTGAGTATAACTGTAGCAATGATAGTATCAAGGAAAAAAATGCCTACCATGACAAGTAGTACATAAAAAGACATTTAGGACATTTATTTTATTAGGCTTGTAGGTTTTGTAGTGGTAACAATAGGGGAGGAGCTTTTGCAGATACATCAGTGAATCTAAGGGATAATGGATTATACTCATGCCTGTTATGTTTTTCTAAAAAACTGCTCTCAAAAGTTCATTAGAAATGAAGGGGTAATGTTAATTTGATTCAACGAACAATACATCACTAGATGATACAGCATTAAAAAGCTTATTGTGCACTAGTAGTTTTGTTCATCGATCTACAATGCTATTGATATTTAAAGTAATTATGAAGCAGGGTGCACAGATAACAGAATCCAGTTGATAGATTCAAGGACACTCGCATTAACTTTTATTTGATCAAAGAAAATAGACTGCAATGCTTTAAATTGCCTTTTCTCATTTTCATTAAGGAACATATTTTATGAATATTATTCTTTTATTTTTTAAACGGAAAGTACCATCTTCATGAGCATTCTCACTCTTAAATTAGTTTCTGTGTTCATTTGTTGCACCTTCTACAATCATTATAAAACTATGAATATTAATTGTGTTTGCACCTGAAATACAATATTCTGTAATGCTGCATTACCTACATTTACTTTCCTTCTCTGGCCCAAACCCTCACCGGCTTCCTGCTGCCTTTGGAACAGAAATTATCCTGACATTTAAGATCCTTCCATGAACTGTTTTCTATTTTTCTTCCTGAATTTACAGCTATTTACTGGCCTAACCAGTCTTAAAGTCAACTTGTTCCCTCAATGCATCAGGAACTTCGCTTGTCTGTGGCTCCTTTCGGTCTGTTCAGATTGGCTGCTCCTCTCCACTTCAGCCTGGAGAGACAGCTGAGCCCGACCTCCTGAATAAACTACTCCCTGATTCTTTCTATTGACCTTTTTCTCTTATGTGATGTTAGGAATTTCTTTTTCTTTTTTATATCTGCTTCATCAATTAAACGCTACTGTACTTCTGCAGGGCAGGGGTCAGAGTTTGTGGATTTCTAAATTCCCAGGTCCTAGACGTGCCCAGAAAATACACGTTCATGCTGTCATTTCACAGCCAGAAGTCAAACATGTCTCAAACTCTAACAGTGATGAAATGTTTCAGTTAGGCAGATGAACGTTTTCCTATGTAGTAGTAGAATGAATTAAGGCTTATTTTTGGTACTTTCGTGTAATTCTTACTATAGCATAACCTGAATTTTAGATTATAAATTTCCAGATAATTAAAATATTATCTGTCCATAATGATCTCTATAACATTTACTAAATCACGGATTTTACAGAACTATAAAATGTTTAGATGAAAAAGAGTAAAAAAGTGATTTAGATAAAATTTATTTAAGTGATAAAAATAAGATTAAGGGCAGTTAAGTGATAGAAGAATCATGGCTAGGATTTAGGTCTCCTTGATAGAAAAACTGCCAATGTGATGGATAGTCAATCCACAAAATACTAAAATAAATCATAAATCTTTGATACGATGAAGGTGGTGGAATGGATCATAACTGAAATATAATGATGCTTGCTCATCAGTATTCATCATCTTAACCATCTTAACTATAGAAATGATACAAACCCTGCAGAGTTTTATAAGCCAACTAAACTGTGAGTCCTTCTACCAATGTTCTAAATAGAGACAGCTTCCATAACCCCAAAACTAACAAAGAAATTTGAAGTGGCAATCTCACGTGCTGGTGTGAATTAGTTTTGCGTTTATGGCCTATTACAGTTATTTGCTTTGTTTTCTCTCATCAGATACTTAATCCGACCAGATCCACTGGCGTACCTGCCAAACAGTGAACCCAGTCGGAAAAACAGCATCACCACTGCTGGTCAAGATTCTCGGGAGGAAACTCAGCTTTGATAATGAGAAAATAAGAGACTTCTTTTTTCCTACAAGGATCTTGCTTGAAAGAACTCCAAATCTTAGGGCGGAAAAAAAAAGCGCTGCTGTCATTAAATGAACTAGACTAGAATATATTCATATCTCTCATATTTAAAAAAAATCTGTTCTCTTAGAAGTATAGATTATTTTGAAATTTCACATACTCCTTATTGGCATTCCTCCTGTTAATATTGGAAAGATAACAATGGAATGAGTTTGAAAACCTGTTAAAACATAATTCTAAATTTGATATTTAATTGTTTGACAGTAATCTAAACTGTATGAAGCCAATTTAAAAAGTATTAAGGTTTTATGAAAGTAAACTGAAAATCCAGATATATTTGGTGCATCACAATGGACACAGAAGATTGGGCTCCTCTTAAAAGTTAAATGTGTCACATTATATTCTTTAAACTCTCTCTTTTATAAAACTGAGCTCTTCATCAATGTCTAATCTTTTCTCCACAGAGATTAACAAACTTGTTGCCTGACATTGTTGTAAGAATCATAGTTTGTTTTAGAATATAAATCTTGAAGTCATTTTAACCTGTTTTTGTTGCCTTTTCACATGATGTCATATTTATTTTAGAATTTGAGATGCTCACAGCATGTTTTATTACACTGAAGAAGCAAAACAAACAAAAAGAAATATCAAATACCTGAACTTCTTGCTAACATGTCTGACACACACTCTACGTCAAAAGTATACTAAAAAGCAAATATTGATTGTTCTCCTACACGAATGCCTAACATACATAAAATACTTAAACACATTTGTTGACTTAATTTCATCCAAGAATTGAAATATTAACTGACGTATGCAGTAATGGTTTTCATAAGACGCTTGAGTTTTAACATTTCTCATATATCTATACAGAATATTTCAGTAGAAAGATACTTTAAAATTCAAAACAGGAAAATGATATGTCTTATATAATACAAAGACAGTGAAACATTAGAAGTCCTCCTTTATGTTTGTAGTATTTAAATCGTCATACACAAAAACATAGTACGTTGAAACATTTGATTTAATTTTGAAAAATTATCTATAGGAATAGTTTTAATGTAGTGAGGAAAAGTGTGCAATAAAGATAGGTAGTTCTGCCATTGAAATTTAACATAAATCATGTGGAATCTGACAGTTATAAATTAAATATAAATGGGCCCTTGGTGACCTGTATCTCACATCAGAAACAATGAAAAGCACAAAAGCATAGCTCACCAGGTAGTGAGAATACGTTAAGGCATTCCCACGGAAGAGACATTGGTAAATTTAAAGAGATATTTTTCTTCTAATTTTGTATTTTTTAAAATTTGACATGGAGTTTTAATTCAACAGAAAATAGGACACATAAGACGACAAAGAAACATTTTATCCTATTTTTTCATAAAGCAGATAAATGGAAATAAAAGGATTAAGAAATACAGATAAAGAAAACCCTGTAGTCCCCAAATAATTCTGTAGAAATAAAGACGTAAAACATAAAATATGAAATTATGAACATACGCCATTGTATAATTGGGCTTAGAGAATATGAAATGCCTATTTGTTATTCTTGTCTTAGTAATTTTACATTATTCTCATTTTGGAATAACAAAAACACCAAGGATTTCCCCTAAAGCAGGGAGATCTTATCTTTAATTTTCTTTAACCAGACAGGGAAGTAGAATTTACAAAAAAATTGCTTAAAATTGAAATTATACCTTAAAACAAATTTTGTATGTATAGGTATGTATGTTATAAACACATGGAAAATACATTTGACAAACACATATTAACATGTAAATTATTCAAACCAAAGTCAGAAGCAAACTAATATATGTAATGGAGAATACTAATAAATTTAATGAATCTTTTCATATTTGCATATCGATAGTCAAGTATGATGTTTGAGTTGCCATTTCTTTATTTCACTACACTTATTTTAAGGAATAAATGTAAGATTTTATGATTCACCTGTTTCCTCACAAGATCTCGTTTAGTATTTTTGCATTATGACAGCTATTAAGACTCAGATTTTAAGTTAGGACATGATTCTATTTCCTATAAAACTAATAATTTTGTTTCATAAATTTTACAATAATTATTTTTGATTATGAACATTAGTCAAAATTTAATATATGACACAATTCATATCAGCTTGCTATAAGAATGAGTTTATTAGTCTTTCTGTTATTAAAAAACATAAAAACATGCTTATAAAAGCCTTTTAAGAAACTGTTGCCTTTTTAAAATACTTAGACTTGCACATGAAAATAAAAGACAAAGTCAATAATAGTCCTTGTAACCCTAGGGGAACTGGTTCTGTTTACTGTCTATGTACCATTTTGCTTTCGGTTACATCGAACTGCTTTAAATTAAAGAATAAAATTATTTCTGATGATGAAGAAGTGCTTGGTGTTTTTTTTTTTGCCAAAATGTTAGTTTGGATAAATGATGTTTCAAAACTACAAAATTCATTTGTCATATTTCAAAGTCACAAAAAACATAAAGGTGATCTCAATGGAAAAGATAGCCATAAATGAACGATTACTGAATTACTTCTTAACATAACAGGTTCTGAATGACTATGTGGCAGGAAAGGAGGAGGGAGGAAGGCAGGGGCAGGGAGGGTGGAGATAGAGTAAATGAACACAGGGAAGGGAGGGAGGAAGAAGAGGAGGATGGGAAAAAACTAATTTAGGTTCTAGAAGAGAAATTCCACCCCACAAAACAGAGGATAATGTCCCACCCGATACACTAATTTGAAGACCACAAAAGCACTGGTCAGAGGAAAGAAAAATCTATTGCAAAGGCAAAGCTAGGCTTTAGATTCCAGGAAAATGGAGCAGACACATCTCTCCCTGTTCCGCCTGCTAAGTACACAGAAAACCCCAGAGTCTACATCCGAGGAACATGAGACTGAGAAGTGGAGAGCGGAAGGGAGATGGGCTAAGAATGTGCAGCAGGCAGAAGAGCTCGGTGGGGTCTCCCCGGGTGTTCCCGTTGCCTCCATGTAGCATGGTCTGGATTTGGGGAACTGCCAATGAGCAGACAGACATGTCCTACAGAAAGCCTGCTCTCTTTTTCCATGGAACTGACCCTTGCAGCCCACGCTTCTTCCCAGCACCGCTGCCTAACACTCCTGCAGTGTGGCGGCCCCTGCCGAGAATGGCTCCTGGAACACCGAGTGGTCAATAGCAGTGGCCAGCAGCGCCCCTCAGCAGCCCTCAGAGGGCTCTGCAGCCGAGGCCTCCTGTGGGAGCTTCCCTGAGAATGGCTTTCCCCTGCAGCGCCCACGGTGATTTCACTGCGGCTCTGTGAGCCACAGCTGTGCTCTCTCCACGAGTCTGGATTTCAGCCCTGGGGTGTCTTCTTGGGCACTCTATCTGAGCCCCAAAGATGATGCTCACTCCTTGTATGTCCTATTGTTGTACCACTTTCAAGTTCTCTTTATGTATTAGTAACCGATCCATCACTATGTCAAAGCTCTATAGCTAATAATTCTCTGTATCAAACTCTAAGTCATAATTCTTTCTATAAAGTCTATGTCCTATCTTATCACTTAATAGAATTACATTTTATTACTTACATCTACTCAGTAAAAACAAAACAATGATCTGTCTTCCTAAGGATAGGGAATAGCTGTTTTAGACATTTTGAGCCAACTAAGTGACAAAAAATTTGACATTGAGAATAGAGTATCTTATGATCACTTTTTAATAAAAACTAACTGACTTTTAATGCTTTTTTGGCAAAAAAAAAAGCATGCTGTGCAATGACTATGGAATGACTGACATTTTCACTGGAAACATGTTGCTAAAAATAAAGAAGCTGTGTTTGATTTATTATCTCCAACCGAAGGAGCAAAGTTCTTTATTGTGAAGCACTCAGTGTCTTCCAAGTTACGGTGGGCAACCCTCATTTCTTACTTTAGTGAAATTAAGATGTATCCTTGCACTAGGAAACAAGTTCAGATCCAACTGGAAGCAAAAGGCAGAGTAACCAGTTACTTCCAATTCACGGCTACAAACACGAAAGCCTAAATTTGCAGGAGAGAAGATGGTTCTTTGATTACTTTGGAATGTAAATATTTCAGGGCTCACATTTTTAAAACAAGATATCTGTCTGTTGAAAAACTTCTACCTATTTACCCATATGGTTGTGACATTTAGTAGATAGTACTAAAAGTTAAAATCACTTAAGACAATGATTTTAAGTCACTTTGGGGTTATGCTACCATTTTTTTTCTTGAATATGCTGAGACACTGATATTCATGTGTCACACATAATAAACTATTAAAAGTGAATCATTAAGGATCTATGAGAAAAGCTTAGTAATTCAAGATAGTTCCCATAATATTGGTAAAGTTTTTCTTAAAATATATTGATAAGATGTGCTCTACCTCATAATTATTTTGATTTTCCAAACAATTTTTCAACTCAAAAGAATCAAACTTCCTGGATGTTTTCCAGTATTCCTCGACACCCTTCTTTTGTTTACTTCTTTATATAAAATAGCCACCAAAGCAATTACAAAAGTCATATAACTTTGAAGTAACTCAGTGAAGTAATTTAATATCTTTTTGTATCCTAGACAGAGGACAATTTTCATCTGAGTCCAAAATCAATTGTTTCTTTGTAATTTTCCCAATATCATCACAGAATAAACCACAGGATTCAGACGATGATCAAGGGTAATTCGTTTTGTGTATACAATATTGAGCACTCTTCTAGACTTATCTGTGTCATAACTGCCACATCTCACGTCCTGCTATGGGTCGCTGCACTGACTTCCCAGAAGCAGCTACTTGGCCCTGGGCAGGTGGAAGCCAAATGATGGGGCATTCTGGCCAGGCAGAAACGTGGTTGGTGACCCAGCATCAGCTCCCAGATCCTGTAACATGGTGGCGTGTCTGCGTCCATTTTTCATGCACCCCATGCAAAGGGAGGCTCACAGAAGGCTCCTCTGAGGAGAGTAAGTGCTGGGGATCTGTATGTATTCCAGCTGGCTCTGTCAGAGGCTCTGAGGAGCGGGAAATCACTGAGTGACCTTGGTGCCTGGATGATGACATTGGAAATGGCTTTTGTAAGAGAATATTAGTGTAGATTTGGCCACCTCAAAATGATGATGTAGCTATTGTATGTTGTCATGAACTAAAAATGGTTGACATGAGGACCTTAGATGCTCAGGAGTAAATCTCTGTTGAAAATTATTAAAAATAATTTCAGCTGATAATGCCCAATCAGATTGCTGTCTGCTCCCAGGATGCAAACACAAGACTTTTCTTTCATACAGGCACCGAGATGCTCAAATGCCCAAGGGCAAACCTGAGACCCATCACTGATCGTCTGCTTCCTTTTTCCTGATTCCCAGCAGTCAATTAAAGTAGGATGCTCTTATTTCTACCTCTTGAGTGGCTCTCCTATCCTATATGGTCAACACTGATTCCCCAGGTGAGTAGTCAAGACACTGGCCTAGGCCTGGGCGGCTTTAATAAACCTGCAAACCCAATCTCGCCCTCATCCATTCTTTTCTGCAAATAATGATCAGAAAGATTCTTCAAACATTTAAAACGATTCTTCGTTAAAATCACCCAAAGGCTTCTCAATTGTTCACTATTTTTCACTCAGATTGAACCATTTTCAATTTTCCAAATATGTCGCATGTCTTTTCTCTAATGATGATGTGCATATGTGATTTCTTCTGCCTCAGAATACATCCCTCTTGCCTCAGCTTCCTAACTCCTACTCATCCTATCTCATCACTCAGTTTATGCAAAAATACTTACAGAGAGACGTCCTTGAAATAAATGATAAAAAGTACTTCTTCAAATAAAGTCTCGCAATGTCTCTGCTCATAACTAATACTAAACTAGTAAGGATTCCTTTATATTCGCTCACATTGCCTGATGCTGCTTCCCTCTCCCTGCCTCCACTTGTATTGATATTATCATCAGCAGTATTAGGATCCAGTATTTGATTAACAGGGAGAAAACCCAATTCTAAAATCTGTCTGCAAAATCTCTCTCAGGGTGAGAATGCCCCTTTTTCCTTAGGAATACACAATCAGCCATGTTTGGCTAAAATTCTGTGGTCATAGCCCGAATGGCTTCGTCAGGTGGCAGATGAGGAGAATGGTTTGCTGTGAATAAGCTTTGGCTGGAGAAATGTTCAGTGCTAGGGATGGTAAAATACCATTTTAGGAAAGGATGATTAATTGTTGAAGGATATGTCGCCTAACATTTTTTTGTTTCTTTGTTTGTTTTTTACTGTATTAGCAAGTTTAGGGAATATTTTTCTGACATATTTATTCTTGTAAATATGCTCAATTCCACTAAGTGACTGGTGATTAAAGTTAGTGAGATTAAGTTCTGCCCCCATCTAAGTTCTAGGGACACCTGAATCATATCCACACATGACAGCCACCTCAGGGTTTATGATAAAAGGGGTAACTCAGCAGCCTTGCCCAGACCTGCACATTCCTGGGGACGGCCTGTCTGTAGGACTGGCCCTTGGTTAGCTCCTGGGAGCTGAGCACTGAACTCTTGGAATATTATTTCTGATAAGAGTATTCTTACATGCCTGAGGCTTTGGGCCACTCTGAAGCCAGTTAATGAGATGGTTTACGCGAACTAATGTCATTTGTGGTGAATGCTTGCTTTTGCTCTGGGGGACTGGGGTCTCGAGTAGTGAGGTCAGTGAGGCAGGTGCTGCACACCTGCCTGTGATAGTCCCCCAATAAAAACTCTGGGCACTTAGGCTCAGGAGAGCTTCCCTAGGCAGCCACTCATCACATGTGTTGTCATACATCATATTCAGGAGACCAAAGCACACCTGTGTGGCTCCACTGGGAGAGAACACCTGGAGTCTCATGCTTGGTTTCTTCTGGATTTTGCCCCATGCACGTTTTCCCTTTGCTGCTTTTGATCTATAGCGTTTCATAGTAATAAACCATAACCAGGGTATAATGGCTTCTGAGTCATGTGATTGCTTCTAGCAAGTCACTGAGTCTCAGTAAAGTCTTGGCAAACGCTGACACAACTGTAGCGGCTAATCAGAGGCGTAAATCATGTAAAGTGCTCGGGAAAATAAGATAATTTACTGGCCCGCTGCCAGACCACAAGGATGCTCACATTGCAGTCCTACTCCTTTCCAGAACTTCCAAACATAATTGATTGAATTTAAGATGGAGCCCCAGACATCTTCCCCATCCTCTCTTCCCAAAACTAACAGCCTTGGCTCCATTGTCTGACTTTTGATCACCAGGACTCACCTCACTGTGTCCTTTATTTTTGTTCATTTCTCTTACTTCTTAATCTTGGTTATGTTAAGTACCAGTGCAGATCTCAACTGATCACATCCACAAACGCTAATGGTTCAAC